CTATAAGAACCATCCATGCCCTTTTATTTCTTGGCCTCATTTGTGAAACTATCAGCAAAAGTGTCAATTCATGCCAAATGTGATTGTGGTTTCTGAGACGTGGACACCTATCCACCAGGATATGGACTGTGATCACCTATTAATTGTATAGAGGCCACTGTACATCCAGCCCTGGGCTGGATTTAAACTGGCAACCTGGAAGTGAACAGAGTTCACTTTTGTATCCTAGTATAATCCACTCTGCCATTGTATGCCCCTGTTTTACACTTTAGAAGGCTTTGAAATCACCTCCTCCTTTTGAGAGAATATTCCTGTTGCCCAAAGTTGTTCACTACCATTGTTTGTTAAGGGATTTGCTTTTCTACCATACCTCATTTAAACACAGGACACATTTTCAATTGTGCATGCATAAGCAAATCCCAATTATTACTACTTTTTATATCACTCAGTGTTCACATTTGCACACAGAGATTTATAATTGCTCACCTAAATATCCAATTTGTGGTTTGTACATGCAGGTACATGGGCCAATTCTAAACTTGCACGAAATGGAGGTTGGCCAAAAAATTGTCAAAGAATGTGAATTCACTAATATACATAAAAGCTACAAACCTCTGTTTATCACTTATGATGCCACTATGTAAGCGAACATCACTTTTTCATACATGTAGCAGAATTACATTTTTATTTTGAACAAATAAGCGTTAACATTTTAAGGTTTTGCAATCAAGCACTCAAAAGACAGGAATTGTAATATTACAGCTGAAGTTTCAACCTTAACTCTGCTCTGAATACAGACTTAAAATACAGTCTCTCCTAAAACCATTCCATATTATTTGTCAAATAACTCTGAAGTTTATTTTAAACACTTAAATGAAGTAAATCATGGCTCATGCAGCAAAATTCAACTGTGCAAGTGCAAAATTTCCAAATTTAAATTCTCCTGGATGGAAGCTTGGCCCCACTGAAATTAACTGGAGTTTTCCCTTTACTTTTAATGGGGCCAAGATTTCTCCCCTTTCCTTTAAAACTACTCTACCAATTTGCTTCAAACTTGGCTTATTCCTTAGATCTCAATGATCTAAGGAATTGTGTTACCATTTGCAAAATTTTTGATCAGGTTATACTGGGAAGGATATAGATTTTTCTCAATATACACATAAAATAGATGAATCAGATTTGTTAAAACTTTATAAAAAAAAACTTCACCTCTGGCCTGAGACCAACCATGGAAAAATCTCAACCCATGAGGATTTTGCTTCAGGAAATTATGAGCTACTGAAAAAGGAGGAATAGACCAAAAGTTGGAAATCAACTTAATTGTAGTGTGCATTCAGGCAGCTGTATGCATTTTAGTATCCAGAGGATTCACAGACCAAACAAGTGTGTCCGTGTAAGGTGAAAGGCTATCACCAGAAATGCTCACCTCTCCAGCATTATGAAGGTTTAGACCAATATCATGATATTACTTATTAACTATGGAAATGCAGAGCGCAGTTCTGCAATCATTGCTCACACAAGTCCCGCTGACTTGGACTGGACTCTTAATCTGGTAAACTAAAGAGGATCTGGCCAAGATATACGAAAAAATGTCTCGTCATTTAATGCAATGCAGGGAAGAGTACTGAGGAAATGTAAAGATATAGACAAGACCAGATTCAAAGCAGTGATTTAAATGTTGATGTAAATTACACATTGGGGTGAAATCCTGGGCCTACTGAAGTCAATGGGAATTTTGCAGAAAACAGGTATGAGTGACAATGTTTTATATCTTGCAGTAGTTTGATATTGAGATGGTGAAAAAATGAATGCAACTTACAACTGAGGAGACCGAAGTGGTGTAGCAGGAAAAGAAGTTAACAGGAGCATATCAGATAAAGTGGGAGCTCCACTACCTTATGCTTTTCCTGCTAAATCCTTGTCATCCTCCTCCTTACAATGTATTTTACCTCGTTTTGCCTATCAACTGAATGCCAAATACATGCTAGTTACTTTACTACTTATATATATATTCATTTTCTGACACGTGTGTCATCTCTTCTGAATTTGAACCAAAATAAGGCACTCCAGAAAAAATAGTCATGTAGGAAGCTTAACTGATTTGTGATTAATTGAACATAGGTTACAAAAATATTATTTAATAAAATCGGGTTTCTGTGAGCTGGAGGTAAATTTGAGTGTCCAAGGAGGTATGTTCCTTCTAAGAAGGGAAAATAGGTTTCTTATTCATGGTTAACCACTATAAAGAGAACACTATACAGAGAAAACAAGAACACAGACAGAAAACATTGCCTATGGAAGTGAACTATTAAGAGCAGCAAGGTTTGAAACACCTACACTCCCAGGAACTAGAGGGTCATATCATAGCAGACTAGAGTCAGTCCTTCCAGGAGTCCCATAATAAATACCAGATAAATGGAGTACTGTGTGAGTACACAAATCCTTAAAGACTGCCAGGTTCTTTTGTAAATTCAGACATTTGCCTTGATGATATTAATCCAAATTTGCCCTTCACACACTGCTGTGCACCACAATGTCCACCCAAGATGTGGCTGCATTTCAGCAGTGCTGTACAGGTGGATGTCTGAAGTGCTTTGGGATTCTTCAAAATGAAATGCTATGGTAATATAAAATATTGCTTCTATAATTCCCTATAAAATGCTACTTTAGGATACCACCGTGAGAGAACTTAAATTAGACAGAGTATGGACCCCATCTTGTAATCTTTACCCATGATAGTAATCCTAAATAATAAAGACTGCTGGCATGAGTAACAGGTTGCAGGATCAGTTCCTGTGCAACTTTGGACAGTGAGAGGAGTCATTTTTTCTCTCTGTTTATCGAGTAGCATGTTTAACAAACATTCAGGAGTCAGATTTGTCAAGGGAGAAGACACAACACTGCTTAATATAGGCATAACCACTCAGATCAAACTGAGTCTTCTTAGGCTTCTGGAAACATCCAGTTTCCACTCAGTACTCCCAAATTCAAATTGCCAGTATTCAAAAATCATGAGTCATCCTTCAAAATTTCATGAGACTGGATTAAAAATCATGAAATACTTTTGAGTGAGGGGCTTCTAATTTTTGAGACGATAGTGTACGTTTGGGTCATGTTTTCAAGTTTGTCTCTGCAACCACAAGGTCTACAATCACTTTTTTTTTTTTAAATGAAAGCTGAAATCTTCACATAATCACAGGATTCCAAGAACTAGAGTTTTAAGAAAAACACCAAATATTGTGAGACTTGGAATAAGAGTCCCAAGAGTTGACAATACTACTATTAAGAGGTTTAACACAGGTATTACCAGACTCCATTACTAACATTACATCATCTCATTAGCATAGTTATTCTGATAATTCTTACATCCAGCACAGCAAAATTCTTAACACCTGCCCTGCTTTTGGGTGCCAATTCAAGGTTTTCCCCTCACTTTACCAAATAATTGGTAAATTCACATTCACATCTATTATACATGTGTCCTAATTTTTTCAAGGTGGCTCTAGCACAAGGAAATAAGTATTTAAGTCAGCACTGCAGCTTCAGTTCTATGCAGTGTAAATAAGAGTGCAAAGGAATTAGCTCTCTACCCAGTGTGACCTCTTTGGCTGGAGCTTTTGCAATGCTCCTGCTGTACATTAGCTATCTCCTAACTACTTCCCTGCTCAGAAAAGGGAGCTGTTAGCAGCAGTTGCTGTATAATTACTTACTTGATTCCCTCTAAGAAGCTTACACTAAGAGTTGAGCAAAGAAAGCAGATTAACAATTTGAATACATCCACCTAACGCACACACATAAAACAGTGGGGCTACCAATAGACGTGGCCCAGGAAATTCACTTCATCTCATCCTGCTGGAACAATAAGGGGTTTCATTTGAATTGTGGGGCAATTACATTGTGTGGGAGAGGGAAGGGGCGAGACAGGAAGAGATGGGCTGCAGTTACAGGGTGGGAGTGAGTGAGTGAGTGGAGATAGGACTCCTCCATCCCCAGCAGCTAGATTAGTACCAGAGTAGGCGGCGGCGCAGCCTATAGTGCTCAGCCTGCTCTGCCAGTCACATGCTCCCCAATGTAACCTAGCAACAGCAAAGCCCAGAGAAAAAGTTCTCTCTCTCCCAACTTCAAATCTGTGTCTGGGACTGAGGGAAGCTTATTGTGCTCCAGACTAAGCATCTGTTTCTTTATTAGACTCTTTTTATAACATACCGCATCTGTTACACATACAACAGACACGTACACGTTGCACATGCACAATCAGTGCAAATACAAAGAGCAAAGCCTGTGTCTGCCTAATGGAACACATCTCGAGGTGCAGCTTTACCGAGGAGCTGGTTGCAAAACCAGCTCTTAGAAACTGGGGGGACTCACTCAGCCCGCTCACTTCGGGCTTCCCAACCACCTGCATTTGGTGCGTTGAGAGGGGCCGGCAACACGGCCACACACAGATCTTTATAGATGTTCTCCGGGGCCAATAAACATGTTTCAGTAGCAAGCGCCAGGGTACGGCGATTGTCTTGCCCTCCTTTATGCACGGAGCCCTGGCCGGCCTCCTTGCAAGGAGCGCTCCCCCCAGTTAAAGGCTTCTCTCTCCCTTGCATCTCCAGAAAATGAAAGCCCGGCGTGACTTTGCCGTGGATTTGCACCGCCTGAACGGCCCTCCCAAACGTAACCCCAGCTCAGCGACTGCTCCCCCCCGAGGACTCAGACCCCTTCCTTGGGTAAAGAACCACCCCGGGGGAAGCAAAGGACGAAACCAGCCTGAGGAGGAGCTGTCACAGAAAACGCTGGGCTCGCTTCTTACAGCCCCCGGGCTCGCTCTACTTCCCACTACAGGATAAACAACTTCTGGGAAGAGTCACTTCCTGCTGCTCTAGCCCTCCGGGGACACAGCTCCCTTACAGACCAGCAGCCACCGCCCCCCTCGCCTTCCCCCTGGCGTTCCCGAGGGGCCCGGGAGCGCCCCGAGCCCCACTCAGACGAGGCTGCAGTAGGGGGCTTACCTTGGCCACTAGCCTGCATGATGCATGCAGTGAATAATATGAGCACTTTGCAAGAAGCTGCTGCTCCTCCGTCCATCCTGTGGCGAGATCCCATCTGGGCTGGGATGCTCCAGCTCCCTAGGAAGCTGCCGGCTGGGCTCAGGAAGGCTGCTCGGCCCTGCAACAGCCCAAGCCGCCCGGTGTCTTTTTCTTATCCCGCTAGGTGCAGACGAAACTCCCACCCTCCAGACATTGCATAAAGCTCTTTATACCCAGCAGCCCCGGAACTAGCATGAGGGAATCAGGCATTGCTCCAGGCCCCTGCAGCCACAGGCTGCCTTGGCCCCTCCTTCCGCGCGCACTTTGCCGGGTAGGAGGGATGCTTTCACACCAATGCACTCCAATGACTTTCTACATCACTCTGGTGCAGCTTTACAATACGTTTTGGGCAGATCCGGGGTGATTTCCAATAGCAAACAGCATTTGATGCTCCTCAGACGCCAGTGTCCCACCTGACAAACAATAAAAGGAGTTAACGAAGGAGCCTTATTAAGGCTTTAGAACAAGTCATTAAATTCAGACATGGGTGTAAAGTTTAAAACGCTGATTTCGTTGATTAGTCCATAAAGAGACGCGGTCAATCACCTCTAAAACGCTGTTGAAGTCTTGACAGTCACAGAATGAATCTTATTTCTCCACCAGAGCCTTTCATGAATTTCCCAGGAGAGAAAGTCAGTCTCACAAAACGCTTGGGCCGAGTGTGAAGCTATTGCTAAGGGAAACTTTAATATCCCTGCTCCTAACTTTGTCAACAGAGGGTACTGTGACGATCCTGCCTTTGGTAAGGGGTCTTTGTGTCACAGGTACACAATAAATCACGGGTAAAATATCCATCCAGGGTTCAGATATTGTTGCCATTTCAGGAATTAGATACAAGACTACTATAGAAAACTATGACAAATCATCATTCGAAAGGGGAACGCCGGGATATGTTTGCATTTTTCCGAGATTACCCTCCACTCTAATCTGGTTAACATATTTTCGGAGCCCGTCAAAAGATTGTGATGGAAAGGCAGTACCGGGAGTATCACACAGAAATGATATTAACTAACAGTATTTATAATTCTGTTAAAACTGCTGAGAGATCGTGTAGCTTAACATGACTCACAGTGGCACGGTAGTTCTTTTGGAGGGGAAATTTATCACGATAAAACTTTAGGTGGAACGTCACTTAGCCCTCCCCTCTCAATCCCAAACACAACATACTCGTGTATTTCAGGAACAAGGGATTGTTGTATAAATCATGGTATCAGAGAGAGGGAGAGATGCATTTATCTCCTAACATGATTGGTCCTATTCATTTTAATTACCCCCATCTATACAAACTACTTATATTGTTTGCATAAAGTTTACAGTTTATATTAAACTGCAGGGCTTGTTTGTAGAGTTTGACAGACATTTCTGAAACATTACTTAACTTTTCTTGGTCCTGTCACAGACTTTAATTTCCAAAGTGCCTGTAATTTTTACACGGCTGTTTTGTTGTTGATTGGGAGATACGGATTTTTCTTTGCGTTGATCGCTTAGGACCCTAATCCCACAAACGTTTCCGTAAGGATTTTCTAATATCTATCATGCTAGAGGAGGAAAGGGAGGGGGGAATAAGAAAGATAAGATGTGGAGTGTAGGCTTTGCAGGGTTGTGATTTATGCAGGTTCAGGGCTGCTTGGTGTAGTGGTACGACACAGCACCGGGGTCAAGCCACAAGAAACACTGGGGCAGATCAGAATATTCAATGAGTTTCCTGGCACCTCTGAATCAGAGAGAGGATAAGATCTCTCCATCACAAGATCCAGAGCTGCTGGGGGGGGGGGGGGGGGGGGGGAACTGCCCTCTTCAAATCTCTTTCCTCCTTCCCTCCCTCCCTGTCTCCTTTCACTGTAGGAGAACAGTGCTTGAAACATTCCTTTCTGCACGGAAGGACTTCTCCTATTGTTGTTTTCTTTGTGTGAAAGTGTTGCCAACTTACTGGAATTCTTGTCGTAGTTTCACAGCAAGTGTCTCAGGCTGACCAAACGGAACCAGCTGCGTTTGTGTATGGGGCCGCGCTGCTTTAATCCCACAACAACGCCAAGGGGAGGGTAGGACGGGATCCACACACGGGGGTACACAGCCGATCCTTTCTATAGAAATGGGTGTCTGAAAAGCAAACACACAGATTGGCTACATTTAATTAGAACGGAAGAGTCTGACCAATTCACGCCCAAGCACGTACTGCTGCTAGCCCGGCACTACCACAGGCACTGAAAGCAAGACAGGCTTATGGATAAATAACGTAGCCAGCCCCTGTAGAGAGCTCCAGCGCTTGGAACCCCAGCCAGTGAGCGAATAATACGACGCGCGTTGTTCTGCCTTGAGATGTTTGCGTCCATTCAGTACAGAGAATTTTCAAAAGTATTTTTATCTGGAGTGGATTTAGAGATTAAGATTTTAATTGAAATCAGCACAAAAGCGAGGGGAGTTCCTACTTAATCTCAGAGGCAAACGCATTGTCCACATTTCCTCCCCTAGCTGTAGAAAGATCACCGGTTCCCAAATATGAACAGGGTAATTGTGCGAAAAAGAGAAACTCTCCCCCCTGACAGCTAGGAGTGGAGTTTGGGTTTTGATACATTTCTGTTCCATTCCACTGTTTAAATTACTTTATTCATTCACAAATGTATTCGAAAGGTTTCTTCCTTAGAGGTCAGCCCTTCCACTAATTAAGTAATGAGTATTATCAGCTCGGCTGCTCCTATTGCTGTAGTGCTGTGCGACAGTAAAATACAGTGCTAGGATAACAGCTCATCTTTGGGGAAGGTCCTGGGACAAGTAGAGGAGCACTGTCTTCTCCATCTGAAGTCCCTTTTCTCCACTGAACCATATCAACTAAACAAAGGACCCGATTCTGCAATCCCTACACCAACAAATGACTTAGATGGGAGTTTGGGTGCGCAAGAAAAGCAGGATCGGGCCCAAATGCTTCCAAGCCAGAGTCAGCTAGAGGGAAAGGGTCGTACAAGAAATGTAACTAAAGAATACAGATTCCGAAACTACAGTCAACGATCACTTCTATCAATGTAGTTCTCCTGCTTTGCTGGCGCTCTCTCTGTACCTTCAAGTGAACTGATGTCAAAGATAGTTGTTATCAACAAAGATTATTTTAGGTTTAAGGAAATTCAATTACTCCACTTAGAAGTTTAGAAGAAATACAGCAAATTCAGTTGTTTACTCTGGTTTTAATGCAAAATCCGCATTGGGAAATGTTTGCGTTCCTTGTTTTCCTGTAAACAAGCACCCAGAAAAGCTGTGAAAGCTTTAATTTACAGGGATTGGACATATCGCTTACTAATTAAAGAAATGCCCTGAGCAGAGAAGTTAAAAATTAAAAGGATTGATTTTTGACCAGAGTTCACTTTTCCTGTCCCGTCTCAAAAGAGAACTAACTCTTAATAAACTTGTAGAAATGTCGAGATTGCTATATTACTAACTACCGAACCCACCTAACATCGAGCAAAACCAGACGTAGGCACCTTTACAGATTGTGGGCAGAGCCTCCCAGCCCGCTATGACTTGACCATTACAATTTATCCCAGCCGGTGATCTGCCCCCTTGTGTACAAACAGAGCTGCAATCACCACTAGCATTTACAGGTTGCAGAGTGGTAGCCGTGTTAGTCTGTATCAGCAAAAAGAACGAGGAGTACTTGTGGCACCTTAGAGACTAACAAATTTATTTGGGCATAAGCTTTCCTGGGCTAAAGCCCACTTCATCAGATGCATGCAGTGGAAAATACAGTAGATAGATAGATAGATCATGAAAAAATGGGTGTTGCCATACCAACTCTAACAAGACTAATCAATACCAGTTGGAAAACACTTCAACCTCCCTGGTCACTCAATTACAGACCTAAAAGTTGCAATTCTTCAACAACAAAAACTTCAAATCAGACTCCAACGAGAAACTACAGAACTGGAATTAATTTGAAAACTGGACACCATTAAATTAGGCTTGAATAAAGACTAGGAGCGGATGGGTCATTACGCAAAGTAAAAACTATTTCCCCATGCTAATTTCCCCCCTATTGTTACTCACACCTTCTTGTCAACTGTTTGAAATGGGCCATCCTGATTATCACTACAAAAGTTTTTTTTCTCCTGATAATAGCCCACCTTAATTGATTAGTCTCATTAGAGTTGGTATGGCAACACCCATTTTTTCATGTTCTCTGTGTGTGTGTATGTATGTGTGTATACACACACACACACCATACCTACTGTATTTTCCACTGCATGTATCTGATGAAGTGGGCTTTAGCCCACGAAAGCTTATGCCCAAATAAATTTGTTAGTCTCTAAGGTGCCACAAGTACTCCTCGTTCTTTTCACTAGCATTTAGTAATCCTGCAGCCAGTCTGTCCTCTGAAGAACTTAGATTTTTCCAAAGATAAATTATTTTATAGGCACTATTTCTAATGTCACATCAGCATATGCTCACAACACCTTTTCCTGTAAAGTTTTTTTTTTTGTATATCATATGCACAGGTACATCTGTCTATGTCCTCCTTTGAATATGAGGCTGATATAGCAAACAATCTGCATGGATCTGAAGTACAAGATGTCCCAGTCTCTTTGTGGGGGTAACAGTTCATCACAGAGCATTAAAGCTCTGTGGCTTCCTTCCATCGGCTCTACCATAGTACTCCAGTTCAAAAAGTCACAGTTATTCTAGAGTCTCTACTTTACAGCAGCCCATCATGTTTTTATGTGATAGAAACGTCACTTACAATGTTATGTTTGGGGCGGGGGTGTTTTTGGAGCTATTCACAATACAATCAATTTCTTCTTAAATTCACTTGAGGCCCAGCTCTGTTCCCATTGAAATCACAGGCGATATTGCAAAAGGCTAGGAATTTTCTCAAATTTGCAGCAGTTCTTCCAGTTTAGTAATAATTTATGTCTTCATGGACAGATTTCTAATGCTTTCCTCCTTTTCCATTCATTACACATGTATCTAATTGTAAAGGGCTCTGGATTTTGATGGTGGTTGTTTAGGATGCAAATAATAATGCTACTA